TATTGATTTTATTTATATTCCTCCCCCCACTGGATTGGAGCTGAATGTCTGTGCTGCTTCCAAACTTAATTGCTGCTTTTTAAAAAAATTCCGTGCTGCTGCTTCCATAAAACCTGCTGCACTTTTGGAGCAAAGACTTTATCTCTTGAGTTTTATACCAGAGAGCAGAGCTCCAAACCCAGGTTTAACAAAATTCTGATTCACTCCAAACTGGGTGACTTATTCAACAATTACTGCCCTCTAATTCCTGGTACAATCCTAGAGGATGGATAATTCCACCGTGCTTAGCAGCAAAAGACATTCTTGGTACTGCCTGAGTGAATTCCTGGTACTCCCTAAATCACTTCTGGGTACTACCTAAATCATGGGAGGCTGGGAAAGTGAGCTCTGCTTTCCTTGCACTTCTCTGAGCTCCTTTCTGAGGAATTGTGAGGAATTGTGAGGAATTGTGAGGAATCCCAGAGCTGCTGATCTTTATTCCCATCCCAGCTGACCTCTCTTCGAGCGCCTCCTTCTCCTCCTTATTCCCTCCTGTCGTTCCCTCCAGGTTGGTGAGCGAAGTGGAAGAACTCACGGTGTTCCTTGAAGCCCTGAAGAGAAAACTGATGGAATCTGAGCAGTGCCTGAAGAACCTGGAGGAGACAAGGATGAAGCTGGAGAAGGAAATAGCTGTGAAGGCCAACAGCATTTTTATTGACAGGGAGAAGTGCATGACCTTCCGGATCCGCTACCCCGTGGATCTGGAAGTAGCCAGTTACAAACAGTGATTTCTGTCCTAACTCTGCAAATCTGGGGGGAAAATAGGACTCCTTCTTTTCTGTTAAGCCCTTGGCAAGTGTGGAAAAAAAGTCTAGAATCTTTCATGTAAATATAAAATAAATGGATATTATTACTCGCAGAATTGCTGCATTCCCTGTGGTTTTGACTTGGGTTATAATTAATGTATCATGGTGGGCTTTGAGTCTTCCCTTCTGCAAAACCTATTTACAGTGAATTTAAAACAGCTTAAAGGTAATTCATTTCTTCTGCAATATATCTATATCATAGGTGTAGAGTATTTTACACTTGGAGGTTTCACCCTAATATGTCGAGGGAATATATCTTGTGAATAATAACAATATACCCAGGTGGAGACAGAACATTTCTAGCTTGAAATGAGAGCAAGAAAACTGAGGATCCCACCAGCAGCAAGGAAACAAGGGACAGACTTCAGCTGCTCAAACATTCTTAATAAAACCCCCCAAATTTGCCCAAGTGACAACTGGTCTGTTGGCAAAAACCCTCCCTGCTGAAATGTGGCCAAGGATTTTGAACCTTCAAGTCAATAAATTTAAACTTTTTCAGGAAAAAAACCCCAACTAAACAGCTTGGGAATTCGCCCCTGACTTTTAAACTTCAGCACTTGCACGTGGAATTGGGCTCCTGACGTGTTCCAGCTATTCCCTGGAAGCAGGGAATGGGGTTATTACCCCTAATGGAGAACACAACAGCTCCACCTCCCCCAGCAGAGCACCAAAGCAAATGTCACTCGGCCATTAGCTTAGTGGGGCACTTGGTTAAATGTGTGCCACGTCAAAAAAGGGGCACAGGTGACACAGAACAGAATTTCCATTATGGTTTCCTGCATTACAGGGTTTTTTTTTTTACTGTTTAAAAGCAGCTGGTCAAAGAGGGAAAAAAAACCTCCAAGGCCAAACCCCCCAAAAAACCCCAGGCCAGGGAGCTTTGTGCCCAGCCCTGGGAGGCAGAGCAGGGTATAAGCTGAGCTGTTTGTCCCCCAAATATGTGTCCAGGACACATATTTGTGTCCTGTTCACTCAGGATGTGCAGAGCACGCCCCAACAATTGCCCTCCTGCTAAAAGCTGCTCCCATTCCTACAAAAACAGGCTGTGGCACTCGAGGCTCCCTACCCAAACCTCTCTTTTAACAACCTTTGGGCTCCAAAATTCTGGTTTTTCTTTTTTTTTTTTTTTTTTTAAATAGATTTGCTCTTTGTGATTATATTTTTTTTCTGTCTTTGACCAGCTGCTTTTTAACAGTAAAAAAACCCCTGTAATGCAGGAAACCATAATGGAAATTCTGTTCTGTGTCATCTCTGCCCCTTTTTTGTCATGGGGCCCATCTGGTGGAGATGGAGCCCTCAGAGTGGTCCCTGAGCTGCCCCCTTGGGCCACCCACCCTGACTGGGGGTGATCCATGAGCAGAGCAGGATCACCCATGGATTAAATTGAAATCCACCCCTCTTTGGCCGTATTTCCACCTCATCCCCTTCTCCCATCCCCATGAAGTGCCTTGTTGAGATGTGGGCGCGTGATTAAGGATCCTTGTGAGCAGCAGATCGTTTTTAGGATTGCTGCAGTGGAGGAGCTCTTGTCAGGAGAGGCTCTTAAAACCCAAATGGGTTCAAGTGTGCAAGAGATGAAAGCAGAGCTGCCACCACCCACCTCGCCCTGCAAAGTCCAATTTATTTGCACAAAAGCCAGTTTGGTTGTAAAACTGTTTCGTGCTTTCTGTGGAAACCTGGGAGACTTTGCCTGTTCAAAGAGGTCACTTGTGTGGAAACCTGGCAGCAGATTATCCTTCAAAGCCAACCACAGACTGCTGCCAAAAAATCAGGGAGCTGGCAGGTTTGTTGTAGTGTCTTCATGTCTGAGAAACACAGCAAACAGCTTTTTGCACTTGCAGCAGAGGATTCCTGGTTGTCTCTACCAGCTTAAAGAGCTGCTCATCACCACTAACAGAACTCTTCAAATTGGCACCACAACGTTGGGTTTTTGGGTGCAAAAAGGCAGCTGGCCCTGGGGATACCTGTGTAGCCACTCACACCCTGCAGGGCCACCAAATTTTGGCCTTTCTTTGGACCAGCTCCTGGCTAAACCCTGCTGAAATCATTTAGGATTTCTAATTGCATGGTAAAAGTTTTTCCAGAACTTGTTCACACCTTACCCCTGGAATCAGGCAGGTCCCAGGCTGAGCCACCACCTGGTTTGTCACAAATGTCACCTCCTGATATTTTCAGGGCTGAACTTTGGTGCTGAGGAAAAGGAAAATCCCCAGGAGAACATCCTGCAGAAACAGGAGCCTCCAGCCTTTGGGATGACACACAGGCAGCCTCCTAATTCTGTGTTTGTGTAAAAACACATCCCATAGTTTTTCCCCTAAACCAACATTTCGATTAAAAGGATTCAGCCTCCCACCCCCACACAGCTCCAAATTCCAGCTGACTCTTTAATCAAAGCTCTTGCAAACACAGTTTCTGCTCCTTGTGCCAGCTCTGATTCCTGACGTGTCCTCGCTGGGGTGAACCAGGAGTTTTGTGGGAAAAATCCACTTCCAGCCCAATTTCCCTGGTGACCAACCTGGTGCAAATCCCCTTGGGACAACAAGGGGAACCAGGACAAAGATGGGAGGGCTCTGGTGTGATGGAGCAAACACACAGACCCCTCGTGCTGATGCTCTCACTCGGTGTCTCCTTGGAAAAACGTGATAGTGGGGGGAAGAATGGGTTTTTTTCCCCTTTTTTTTATTCTGAAATGTGTGGAATATCAACCAGAAATGCCCAAAGGACCATCTCTTGAAGGTTGTTATCATTGCTGTGGAATTGCAATCATGTCCTGAAGGTCAAGAACAATCAAAGGATGTTCTGCAGCAGAGGAATTGTCTGGAGCCCAGGAGCTGTCCAGGGCTGTGTTGATTTTCCATGACCTTGTCTGACCAGCTGGAAAAAGGGAATAACCTGAGGGTGAGCCTCAAAACTCAAGGAGAAACCTGAAAGTGCTTCTGGCAGGTTAAAATCCTGCTGGGAACGTGGATCCTCCTGCTTGGAGCCCTTCCTGCTTGGCTTCTTCCACCTCTTGGGCTTGCTCTGGGTGTGCAGCCCCAGCTGGAGCTGGAGCTGCTCTTCCTTTGGCTTCAGCCTTTGGATGCACAAATCCCACCTGGATGGATCCAGCTCTGGCATTAACAACCTGGGCCATGGGAGGTGTCCCTGCCCAGGACAGGGTTTGGAATGGGATGTGCTTTAAGGTCCCTTCCAACCCAACCCCTGGTGGGATTCCTCGATTAACACTTAGGAAATGGTTTTTAAAGAAATTATCAACCATCACAGCCAAGGAATTTCTTCCCAATATCCCATCTAAACCTACTCTCTTTTAGTTTAAAGCCATTAATATATAACATAAAATATATAATAGATCACATCCATGATATATAAGTATTATATATTGTGTGAGTATCTATGAATATGACTAAAATCTAAGCCCTCAGCCACTGCTGGAGCAAAATCTATCGAGGTGCTGGAGGTTAAAACCTTTTCCTTCTGTTCCACATTGTATTTAATAGATCATGACATTGAAAAGAGATTAAGGAATGACTGAAAAGGGAAAAACCAGCCCCAATCCATCTTTGCACTGAAAGCAAAATCCCAGCACTGCTCCCCTTGACATCCATGTCATTGGAGGCTTTTAATTGTTCTCCTCTGACATTTCAATTATATGTTTGCTGTAAATAAATGTCAGTTTGGGGCCTGCCCAGAATAGGAGTTTTGTAGGGACTGTCTTCAAACCCTCATTACTCCCCCGTGATGTACCAGCCCTGCTTCCATCTCTCTGTGCTGCCAGTCAGGTTTTTCCAGAGGCAAAGGAGATTTCCAAGTGCTCACAGCCTGGTTTTCTTCTAGGAAAGAAACAAATATGTGTTTAAATCAAAATCACTCTGAATGTCCTTCACAGTCTGACCTGGTAACTGCAAAAAAGCTAAAAATCATCTTGCAAATGGAAGTGGGGTTTAGATAAACAGGCTTTTAATTTGAAAAATGGTTGTGAGGGAAGCAAAGAAAGATGGAGCTGGAGTTGGAACCAAATCGTTCCTGTGGCTCTGGGAAGTTTAGGCAGCATTGCTCTAACCAAGAGTTGATCCTGGATCACTGGATTGACTCAAAGGATCAATTCAATTTATTATTTTCCATGCTGATAAATGCCCAGCTCCACTTTCCCCTGAAATTAAAGCTTTCCTAAATCAGGGAGAGCAGCACATCCCCCAAGGCCCCCAGCCCTGTCCCTGCCACCCTCCATCAGGGCACGGATGGGGCCTTTTCCCTTGTCCCTTTGCCTTCCCAGAGCTCCCAGTGAAGGTGCAGGGCTGGCCCAGCCCTGGATGGATTTGGGAAAGGGAAGGTTTGAGTTGAGAAACCAGCCCCTGTCGCTGTGTCCTGTCCAAACAGCTCCAGGCAGGTCCTTTGATCCTTTAATCACACTTGAAAATGCTCTTGGCTGGTCTCCAGCCCCGGGGAAAAAGCACCACCACAACTGATTGATGGAGGGCAAAGAAAAGCTGTTTTCCTGCAGAAAGAGGGACATGATCTATCACAGAGATTATTTTTTACAAATCCTTTGCCTGGTGTTGATGATGCTGCTGAACAAGTGTTACATTTTTCTCCCTGACAGCTCATCATGTCAGGAGCACTCAGAGAGATGGAGCCACTGAGATCCTGCTGGCCTGGTTCCTCCATCCCATCCCAGTGGATGGAGAGGAATTAAATTAAAGAGAAACCAAACAAACACAAGAATTACAAATTTACAAACCCAGCGGTGCTTTTTGCCTCCTGCACCCTTTTTATACTTAATTACAGATGCAAATTCACCAAAAAAAAAAAAAAGACTCCAGGACATTTTATATCCCTTTTATCAAGAAGGATTTTCCAAACTTTTATGGTAAGACAGGGAAAACATTGCCTGAGATTTTGCCCCATCTCTCCCCTGGTTCCAATCACCAAACAGCAGCAGGTGAGAAGAGGGGCCACAGCGTGGGAAACCTCTACCTTTAATTAATAATAAGTGAAGGAAAATGCAAAAAAATGGGCTGGGAAAAAAAAGAAAACCAACAGCCAAACC